TGCATAAGTTTATAAACCTGACATGTCTGGGCAATAATAAAACAGAAAATGAAGAAATCCTGGGCTGCATGCTTTGTAGAATATGATTTTATTTATAAAAGTGTCTAGTAGTATTGAAACCATGTACGGCGTTTCTCAGACTGTGACAGATTTAATTTTTACTTATTATGGAGAAAACTGTTCTGGCAAGTCATAAATAATTGCCTCAAATAATGTCTACTTTCTGTATATCATTTTGATATGAGGGGAGGGACCTGGTTGAGCAGTTGGTATTAAATTCTGTTTGTGAATATATTACTTAGTAAATTGTTAGCGAGATTTATTTGCTTTGCATATAAAAAGGGGTTCTGCTTTCCATGTGACTTGAAAAACAGATATTACTAGAAATTATGTATATGTTGTGAAGTTTTCCGTGTCCTGGTCAATAAATTATCTTGTCAGCTCCAACTCTTTATGATTGATTTAAAAGAATGCATCAAAATGATTCACTGAGAAGAGATGATAATCTGTTTTACTAGTGTTATATATTACTCTGTTTATCATTTTCTCTTTTTTTTCCAGTAAGTGACTAACGTACTTTCTATAGTTTGCTACATTAAATAATTCTTTCTGTTAGCATTATTATGGTACAAGATTTAAGCTAATGAGATAGTCATTCAAATCACAATATACAGAGAGATTTTATATGGCATATGCTAGTGTTAGCATGGGAAAGCGTGATCACTTCCTCTGGCTAATGGAATTTGGCTTTTGTACTGACAGCTCTGGACCCTGTAAAGTATATTCTCTTTTTCTATATGATAAAAAAATCGTTGCTGTCACTAGATCTTAGGTAAGCACTATTGAATGCTTCAGAAGTGATTACCTGGAATCTAGTGACTGCAATGATTCATTTACTCTAATTAGTGTTCTATTTAATAAGAAGGTCCTTTAAATATAGAAGATACTTAGGTAGCAGTGATTGCACTTCATGTACAAATGCAAGACCATCACCTCATACGGAAAATATAGAACTGTCAAATGAAAAAAATATAAGGCTCATATGCAAACTGACTTTCTGACTATAGCAATATTCTTATTAAAATATTTCTATTTTTAAAGAATTTAAAACAGCCATTTGTTTTTGAGGGACACATTTATTTTCTATACATTTTATTTATAACTTGATAGTCAACATCTTTTCTAGCTCATTAGGAAACGTGAATAGTTTTGATTTGCTTTCTTATTTGTTTTATTACTCATTTTATTTTAGCTTGTTTTCTTTAAAAATATAACTTTCTTTCTGGGCTCTAAGTCTGTGAGCATTTAAAAACATTACATAAGGCTGCACAGTGTGATGAGTGTCCAACTGTTAGGCAGATCTGACTTCAGTACCAGTCCGTTACTTAAGTGACATTACTGTGTCACTCTGAGAAAGTTACTTAATTTTTGTAAACTTCAGTTCTCTTCATCTTAATAACAAGTATCTATTGTTGAGAGATTTGAAATGATGCATTAGCAGTGTCTTAAGCTATCGTCAATATAACACACAAACTTTCTTTTCCTAACAATGAAATAGTATTTTAAGGTGTGTTTCTACATGACATGCAGTGTTAGAAATTTTAAGTAATTGTTGAAACGCGTTGAGCCACTGAAACATTTCAACTTGAAAACATCAGGTGGTCTAATAGCTTTTTTGTGTTAGCCAAGCAATTATTTAAAGATTTTTCCTCCTGTGGGCTTAGTACTTGGTTTTTATAACTTTGTAAGGCTATTGGGAGAGACGCGTCATTTCGTATTACACTTCAAAGGAGTGGAAAGCACTCTTTATTTACCCTAATCTGTGTTCTCCTGCTTATGACAATGTTTACTTCCAATTATAATTGCATCTTTTTTAAGAGCTGATAAACTTGTTGAATTTATTGCATAGTATTTTAGAGTATAAGTACATACTTGAATTTTTGTTCCATTTAACCATTTTGTATAATACCTAGATTTTACTTTTTATTTTTACAGTGTTTTCAGTTTCTTTCCTTTTAGTCAGAACGGGGCAATGTGACCTGATGAAAAGAACCTTAAAACCAGAGTTGGAAATTTTAATCTTCTTTAAGGTTTCCACATTAATTCACTTATGGTCCTGAAGCAAGTTATTTTTTTTCTTCTTTGCTTCAGCTTTCTAATAAAGGTCATCTGGAAAAAAAAAATCTTTTTTTAAGTCATGTTAACATTTAAAAAACAAACGAGTTAGTATAAACTTGGAAGTCTCACATTTTTAGATGCATATATACCTTCTTAAACTGGATATTTCTGAAATTCTTGAATAATTTTAGAAATGAAATATGTGTTGGGAGGAGAAATCACAGATGGACTGCATGAGTAATATCTGAGTTTTAGATAAAATAAAACAAAGGAATAACCTGGGCATACCGAAAATGAAGGCCTCATTGGGGCATGTGTCTCTTATAAGGCTGTGGCAATGGCCCGTAATTTAAATCAGCATCAAAGTATTTGGAAATTTTAGAATAACTTCCAACTTCAATGCGACAAATTGCTCATATATGAAAATCGTCCTGCCTTGCAAAGCATAATACAACTCAGGTGCTTTCCGCTGTTGTTCCGTTTGATTCATTTGTCCACATTTCTCTGATTTTGTTCTTTCTCATCAAATTGTGTCTGGATTTCCTCATTTAGAACTTCACATTCTATTTTCAGAGTCTTACAAGTCTGCGACATTTTGTCTTATCCTTTTATGTCATAATTTAGATCTATATTATACCTTGTTTTGAGAATGATTGCATATCATTTCCACTGTATATAATAAAATAAGACTACACTATGTCATTATCATTATTTATAATACTTAAATGTCTGTCATATAGGCGCATAATAAATATGAATGCTGAACAAAGGAATTCAATAAAGAAAATGAAACTTCCAGTTAGTTAATCATTCAGAAACATTTCTGGAGTGTTTACTATGTGTAAAATATGTATTAATGCTTAGAATACAAAAATGTATACCACTGCTTCAGCTTTTCGGGAACACAAGTTTATTAGAAGGGACCTGTAACCTAGAACTATGGCTTTAAATATGTTCAAAATCACATAGAGGCTACAGAGGTTATGTCTGCTGTGATTGGGGAGTGGGAGCAGTGAAAACCTTTCCTTGGATGTGCAACCGTTGAACTAACTCTTGACAAATCAGGAAGAGGTTCCTAGACAGAAGATGGAGAATGACAACTTCATGTGAAGCTAATGTCATGTTCATAAAGGGTGTCTTTTTTGAGAATGGTTACAATGTTAGAGATAAGAAGGATGTAAATTTGCTAGTTGATGTTTTTAGACTTTTTAAAAATTATACACAAGTTAAAAATTTTAGCTAAAAGACTGTGATTATTAGATTTGTTTGTTAGAAATATAACTTTGGCTAGAGTAAACTAGTTTTATTAATAAGAGTAAACTTTGGGGTTGTAAGGAGAATCTGCATCTTGCAACCATCCAGGCTGGTCAGGAGAGTGTTGAAATATTATAGAAGTGTGAATGGAAATGGAAAACAAGTAGTTTAAAGGGGAAATTGACAGGAACTGGTGCCCTGTTGAGTAAGAACATTGAGGACAAGAGCTACATTTTCACTAATTTAAATAGTGGAATTATAAAATTTGGGCTAGACATACTGGATCTGGAAGAATTGTCTTATGAGTTTCAGATTTTACAAAATAATAAAAAAATACGTAGAGAGTGATGAAAGAGATAGATGTTTGATTGAATGCCATGTCTTTAGTTTATATCCATGCTAAATTAAGAAAAATGCATTTAAGAGGAAATAGCATGTAGGCATTCATATTAAAATAAAATGTAAAACATTTAGGAGATACCTGTATGAAAGATGTGTCTATTAGGAAACCATTCTAAGTATCCCTTTCACAGTGCATGGGTCTTTTGGCTTTATATAATTTCCATTCTTTGACATTGTATCTTATTGTCATGGTTTAATTGACACACATTTTCAGCACTGGCCCTTATTCTTTTGTTCACCGTGATATCCACAATGCCTTGAATAGTGTCTGCAACAATCATAGGCGAAACTGTGGATGCCACTGAATCGATGGATGCATGAACAAATTATTTCTTTATAGACGTGTATTTGGTTGAATGAATTCCTTGTGATTTTGAATGCACATTAGTAAAGAGTCAAATAATGCCTGTTGATTGAAAAGCAGTACACCTAAGGCAGCGTAACGTTGTGAAAAGAATTATGGACCAGGAAGTGAGGATGCTCACGTCTAATTTTCAGTTTATACCATCTGAGTCTGAGCTTCTTCATCTGAATATGACAATAAAATGGGCCACTTTATAGAGTTGTTGGAAGTATTACAAAATAACATATAAAGCAAGTTGCACAGTACATTTTACTCATAATTTTTATTTATGTAGCTTAGCTAAACAGCCTCTCTGTATATGCCATGAGTGGTCAGAGACTAGCTTGGCCTTTTTATAAAACATTATACTTCGCCTCAGAAATGAAGCAGTGTATTTATGTCAAATAACTTAATTAAACAAACCAGAGACTGTCTTTCAGTATCATTTCTGTTTTTCTTTGGTATTAATGAAAATCGCATATTTTTTGTACATTTTTGGAAGTAAAAGGAAGCCATGGAACTGAAACACGAATGTATCAGGAATACTTCAAATACATTTTGCTAATCAAAGTAAAACAGTGTGTAAGTATGCAAAACTAATAACTGATTTCCAGTAAGTTATGAGAAGACATAAAGTGAATTTGGGTAAATACACTCAGCTCTAGAAAATGGTGCATTTAAGTAAAGAAAGGATAATAGCATTTGAAAAAAGTATTAAACACAATTTGTTCTTATTGTACATCTTCCTTCTATTCACAAGGGAAAATAGTAAGATTGATTGCAATCAGGATTGTCTTGTGAGACTGAAAAAAGGAAATTCTGGTACTTACTGATGTACATTCATATTTTGATATGTGGAAATTATTTTATTTTTGTTTTATAGATTTACTTGCGCTTCTTGGACTATGAGATGCAGAATTCAAATGAATGCAAGAGGAATTTTGTGGCTGTATATGATGGAAGCAGTTCCGTGGAGGATTTGAAAGCTAAGTTCTGTAGCACTGTGGCTAATGATGTGATGCTACGCACGGGTCTTGGGGTGATCCGCATGTGGGCAGATGAGGGCAGCCGAAACAGCCGATTTCAGATGCTCTTCACATCCTTTCAAGAACGTAAGATTCTCTGCACTTGACTGTTTTTCCTTCATATATGCCATATGATGCCAGTTTTGTAAGCTGTTAACGGTGTTTTCTTCACACAGTTTGAGCACAGCAGGCTATTTTCTAATACGTCGTTTAAACCACTAACGTCCCCCTTTTTTCATTTTGATCCATGACAGGAAAGAGTTACATATTACATTTTGCTTTCTTATTTCAACATAGGCATCATAGCCTTTCCTAAGACAGTTCACACTATTCAACTGGGAAATGATGAATTTCATTTGTCTTTGGTTTAGCTCTTAGGAAGCCTATGGAACTGATGCAGCAGCTTCTGATGAAGTTTGGGTTTAAATTTTTAAAAACCTGCATAAAAATATATGGTAGGTTCTTTTTAGTAAGCTTGTCTTGCAGGCCCATTTATTTCAAATATATTTGTGACCTCAGAGTTCCAATTAAAGTAGGTAAGGAGAGAGAATTGCTTGGGTAGATAATAAACGGGAAAAGTTTCAGAAAATATTTAAAACAGCACAAGGGGTGCTATCCAGAGTCAAGGGCAAATCAAATAAACTTTAGAAAGTTATGTTCTAATAAATAATGAGTCATACTAATAGATATATTCTGAATATTTGTCAGAAACCCTGAATATTTCATGTGTTACAAATTTATGGAAGTGAAAAAGAATTCTGAGAAATTTAGCTTTAAGAAATAAGTACCTGGTGACATTTAAGAAATAAGTACCTTCTTGAAAAGAAGAACGGACACTTTGAAACGAACATTCATGTGGCCAACAAGCATATAAAAATGTTCAACATCACTAATTATTAGAGAAACCCAAGTCAAAACCACAGTGAGATACCATCTCACACCAGTCAGAATAGCTGTTATTTTATTTATTTATTTATTTATTATTGTTTTTTGAGATGGAGTTTTGCTCTTGTTGCTCAGGCTGGAGTGCAATGGTGCGATCTCGGCTCACAGCAACCTTCGCCTCCCGAAGCTATTCTCCTGCCTCAGCCTCCGGAGTAGCTGGGATTACAGGCATGCACCACCACGCACAGCTGATTTTGTATTATTGGTAGAGACGGGGTTTCTCCATGTTGGTCAAGCTGGTCTCAAACTCCTGACCTCAGGTGATCCGCCCGCCTCGACCTCCCAAAGTGCTGGGATTAGAGGCATGAGCCACTTTCCTGGCCTCAGAATAGCTGTTATAAAAGTCAAACAGTAACAGATGCTAGTGACGTTGTGGAAAAAAAGGGAACACTTATGCACCGCTGGTGGGAATGTAAACTAGTTCAGCCACTGTGGAAGGCAGTTTGGCAGTTTCTCAGAGAACTTAAAACAGATCCACCATTTGACCCAACAATCCCAATACTGAGTATAAATCGTTCTGTCATAAAGACACATGCATGTGTGTGTTCATCACGGAACTGTCCCCAGACTATTCCCATGACAAAGGCATGGAATCAAATGAGATGCCTATCCATGTTAGACTGCATAAAGAAAATGTGGTAAGCTTCTCTTGCAGGCCCATTTATTTTTAATAGGTTTGTGACCTCAGAGTTCCAGTTAAAGTAGGTAAGGAGAGAGAGTTGCTTGGGTAGATAGTAAATGGGAAAAGTTTCAGAAAATATTTAAAACATAAAATATAAAAACGGATGATATCCAGAGTCAAGGGCAAATCACAGAAACTTTGTATTGTGGAATACTATGTAGCCATAAAAAAGAATGATACCATGTACTTTGCAACAACATGGATGGAGCTGGAGGCCATTGTCCTTAGAAGTCTAATACAGTAACAGAAAAGCAAATACCACATGTTCTCACCTATAAGTGAGAGCTAAACATTGAGTCCATATGGACAGAAAGAAGGGAACAACAGACTCCAGAACCTACTTGAGGGTGGAAGTTGGGAAAAGGGTGGGGATCATAGTACCCCTATTGGGTACTATGCTTATTACGTGGGTGATGGAATAATTTGTACACCAAACTCCCCTGACACACATTTTACCTGTATAATAAACCTGCACATGTGCACCTGAATCTGAAACAAAAGTTGAAAAAAAGAACTGTAAATGAAAAGAAATAAGCACCTTGTATTTCACAACTATGTATTTTTGTATTATTAGAAAAGGCAATACAATATTTTTGAAATTTCAATGATTTCTCTTATTGTCAGAAGCGGAGCAGCCAATACTGTTTTAAATTCGTAAATGTTAAGTGTGTTAGACAGTTATTTTGTATAACGAATAAATAGTTTGGGCTTTAAATTCCCTTTTAATTACCCAGTTGGGGAATTTTAGGACACCAGAAATACTGAATGTCACTCAGTCTTTCAAGTCTTGACACCATCATGTAGTGTGTCAAACATCTCTCCCAGCTTTATGTCAGATTAAAAGAGTATGCTGTGATGTATTTGGTTCAGTAGTTGATTAAAATGTTAGAGGTAGTGCATTTTTATCTCAGCAAAATATTTGAGGAAAATATTTTCATTTTATTGACAAGCATATGTAACTCAGGCTACAAGACAACACCTTTGGTGGCTCACTGCTGATTGATCTACCAAATTCAATGAATTATTCCTTCAGTGAGGGAATTTCAGGGTTCTATACTTATTCAGTATTCTTAGTCTTCAGGAATAACATACCGAGAACTCATATTTAATTTAAATGATAAAAATATGAAAGGGCAAGCTAATATATTAAATGATATAGTCAAGATTTTCATAAATAACAAAAATCTGTAATTTTTATCCAAAGTATGCCATAAAATATAATAGAGATATATGATAAAAGCATTATATTTCAGAAATCAATAACATAGAGGAACCCTGATGCCCAGGACGCTCCTGTGGTCTTATTTCATTCAAACTTAATGTGAGTCAATACTTTGATTATGGCTGATAAAAATAATCCTATAAACGATATTAGCCTATATTAACATTAGTGGAGAAACAATGCAAAAAAAAAAAAAGATTTTAGTCTTTTGGGAAGCTGCACCAATCAAAATGCAAAAGGCACAGTCTGTTCTTTCCTGACTATTATTAGTGAGGAGAGTAATCACCTAGAAGAGGCTGACAAAGATGTAATTCCAAATAGGAAGAAACGTTTACTTTAGGATTTGTTATTGTTCAAAATGTGATAACTACCTCAGACCTATATCTCATGGGTCTCAAAAGTAAGATTTATGTTTGAAAGTTACAGAGAAACTTTTGAGTACAATTTAGGGGGAAAAATGTTTGTCGTGTGAGTCGTGATATTCAAAATTTGAAAGAATGCCTATGAAGGACATGAAATATGGTTAGATGGGTGATTGGATCTGAAAATGGATTATTATCTGGCATGAATGGTATAGGGGAGTCATCTATGTAGGAATAGCTTGAAAGACTGGCTAACATCAAAGATCCCTTTCAACTCTGAAAATAGATTAAGTTCTATGAGTCTTTAAAAATCTGCATAGATAAGAAATGGTGAACTGTATATATGGTGCATATATTATTATAAATAGGTCTATTTGAGATTATAAAAAATAGAGTTTCAATGCATGTGATTAAATTATGTCTGGAAGTCATTGAAGTGGGCTGACTTTTCAATGACTTGAAAAGACACAGGGTGTTCTTCCTACAGAGGCACCCATCCCAATATGTTCTTTCACAGTGGACAAATAATCACTCTCTTCAAATGATGAGTTTTACAACAGCATTCTCTGTGATCATCTCATAAATGTACAGTAAGTTTCCACTGAAACAGGTTTATCCTTTATGTCATGTTACCATCTGTGTTGGTCTGAATGGTTCTGTGGCACCCCTTCAAAACGTCATATGTTCAAAATCCAGTTGCCAAGGTAAGGGTATAAGGAAGTGAGGCATTTGAGAGGTGATCAGCTCATAAGTACAGCTCTCGTCATAGGCATTAGTCCTCTAATAATAAAGAGGCCCAGAGAGCAGCCTTGCCCTTTCCACCATGTGAGGACATAGCTAGAAAGTTTCATCTGTGAACCAGGAGATGGATTGTAAGCACACCAAATCTGCCAGCACTTTGATCTTGGACTTCCAAGATCATCCAGAACCTTCCAACATCCAGAACAATGATAAACAAAATCCTGTTTGCTATAAGCCACCTAATTTATTGTAGTTTGCTGTAGTAACCCAAACAGACTAAGATGTTGCCTGTGTATATTTGTCATGATGTTCTACTTTTTACTGCATTGACTAAAATTGTGCAGAATTCTATCATTATTTATACCTAAGATCAAAGTTATCCTGTGATGAAGTACATGGGTATAGAGTGTCTTTATTCATTGAAGTGAAAGTATTCCACGTAAGAGATGAAAACTTCAAAACAATAGAAAGTGGACTTCAATCAGTGCTACTCCTTGTCAATGGGTGGGCAGGAATCATTCTAAGGGTACTTAAGAGGAAGCAAAGAGACTTTGTTTAGGGAGTTCAAGTTCCTCGATGGTATTGCTTTATTCAATATTAGTGGCTGAGAGAGAATTTTGACTTAACCTTTTTGTAGTGGCTGATGACTTTGGTTCTTGTAGATGGTGATAGTTATACAAACTATTCATATATTTTTCTATATGGCTAATATATACAATTACATTAATGTATGTTAGTGTATATATAATCTAATATATAATTATACTTTTAATATGTAACTATATATGCCTAACATATAATTATACACATCCAATATATGCCTTATATATGTATATATAGTTACATGTATTATCTAACATTTACTCCATTCACACACCCATGCAGTAAAAGTTGGAGGTAGAAAATCAGTGATCTGCCTTCGTCTTATTCAGGTAATAAGAAAGTACCTGGATATTTTTCCTGGTGCCTACACATTTATAAAATAGTATCCCCAGTTCAGTGGTGAAGTGCTTAGAGCGTGCTGGTGCCTGAATGTTATGTCCCTTCAAAACTAAGAGGCTGGAATTTTTAATGTTGTTTACAAGCCATCTAGTCTATGGTATTTTGTTCTAGCAGGCAAGTGGGCATACACAGA